TCAGCAATATATCCTTTTAGAGAATGTGAATATATTAGGGAAAATAGAATCCTATTTTATATTTGGAGTAAAAAATATTTGAATGTGCTTGTGTGAGCTCATGAGCATGTACTTTAGGTTCTTCTGATTATGCCATAATTCTCTCTGAAATGTACTAGTTGTTTAAAAATCTGGCTTTGGATTTCCATATTCCACCATAGAATATGGTGTCATTTTCTACTGTCTAACAACGTAGTTTGCTGCTTACTCTACCACTCTGTTCGTGCCTCTCCGAATCAGTTAGTCTGTAAGGTGCCATCATACTCTACTTTCTGCCATATTTTACCATATGTACTCTTGCTTCTTAGGTGGAGCTGGCAGGGAGCTGAGACCTCTAAATCTTCTGCCGAATTCCCCCAGTATAAAGTGTCATTTCCTGAGCAAAAGCTGTGGTCTCTCTGTTTTGAAATCTGAATCCTGACTTAAACAGCCAAGGCCCCAGACAGTACATCTAGCATGGAGGTAAGACAATCTAGGATGGTTTCTATGAGGATGAGGTGGTATCATTTTCCCCCCGTGTTCTGCCGTATGTTTGTTTTTTATCTGGTGTGAGGTATTCGTGGGCTGGGAACAGCCTGTCTCATTTCAGATTACCCCAATTTTCCAACCCTTATTTTAAGAGAGAAGCCATTCTCTCTCTTTTATGATCTGAACTCCTGGAGTAATCACTTCAAGGGTCTCACTGTAGATAGAGACAAGAGGTGACACACCAAAGGCTTATTGTTAGGTATCCTTCATGCTTCCCTATCCCAGATCCTGCTTTCGGTTGTTCTTCTCCCAAACATGAACGATTCAGTCTGAAATTCTCCATGCCTACTGGAGACCGAATAGTCCTGGGACATGCATCTCAAAAACTGTTGAGACATTTCTGAGAATCAAATACTGGGAAAGGCTGCAGCTGTGCTCATGTTTTCAAAGCAGCGCATTCATACTTTTGGCACAGAGATGTGATATTAGGCAGTGGAGGCGCACTGATGTCAGGCATGTGCTTTTATTTTTCAGGGGGAAATTTTTTTTGGCCAAGGTTGGGGTCTTTGAATAGTCTGAATTGGCACATGCTCAGTGGAGGAGTGATGGAAGTTGGCTGACGAATTCTCTGAAGAGTTCATCTGTTCTGAGCATGCCAGAGCTATGGGGGTTGAGCAGGAGCAAGATTGTCTTGACGGAGGCTGTGCCCAGCTGCTGCAGATCACTGTAGCCCCAAACACAGGACATGAGTAGGTATTGTGTAGGGAGTCATGCGGGTGGACAGAGAGGTGGATGGGATGCTTGGCTAAGTCATCCCATATTTCATAGATTTCATAGACATTCAGGCTGGAAGGGACCCCAGAGGATCATCAAGTCCAGCCGCCTGCCCAGGGCCAGGAAGTCAGCAGGGATCATAGGATCCCAGCAAGATAAACATCCAAAAGTGTCTTGAATGAGTTCAAAGTGGGTGCTTGAACCGCGTCTGGCGGCAGTCTGTGCCAAACCTTGGGGGCTCAGACAGTGAAGAAGTTCTTTCTTACGTCCAGCCTGAATCGGTCACAGTGGAGTTTGTGACTGTTTGATCCTGTCATCCCTTGGGGGGCTCTGGTGAACAGTCGTTCCCCCAGATCCTGGTGGTCACCCCGATAAACGTATAAATGGCCACCAGATCACCCCTGAGCCTGTGCTTTCCCAGGCTGAAGAGCCCCATAGCTCTCAGCCCATCATTGTAAGGTCTGTTTTCCTGACCTCTGATCATGCGTGCGGCTCTTCTCTGCACTCTCTCAAGCTTCTCCACATCCCTTTTGAATTGTGGAGCCTGAAACTGGACGCAGTACTCCAGCTGCGGCCTCACCAAGGCTGAGTACAGCAGGAGAATCATGTCCTGGGATTTGCTTGAGAAGCATCTATGGATGCAAGCCAGTGTTTTGCTCGCTTTACTAGCCGCAGCATTGCATTGCAGGCTCATGCTCATCTTGTGGTCAATCATGACCCCCAAGTCCCTTTCAACTGTAATACTAACCAGTGTAGCACTGCCGAGCCTATAAGCATGCTGCAGGTTTTTCCTCCCAAGGTGCATTTTTCGGTGTTTAAACACCATCAGGTTCTCACCATCAGACATTCTTTGCCATGACATACTCTCTTCCACCCAGCTCTTCCCCTTGTCCTTTTGTATTTGACTAAGGCATCAGTTTGACGTCCATATCTTAAAAAAAAAAAAAAAAATCATGGAGCAGGTTCTTAAGGAATCTAGTGAGATTCAGAACAAAGTGACCAGGAACAGCCAGCATGGTTCACTAAACACAAATCATGCCTCACCAACCTGATTTCCTTCTATGATAAGAAGATAGGCTCTGTGGATGGAGGAGAGCAGCGGATGCAATATATCTTGACTTTAGCAAGCCTTCTGACACTGTCTCCTATAACTTTCATAGTTTCATAGTAGTTAGGGTTGGAAGGGACCTGAAGTCTGACCACCTGCCCTGGACAGGAACAAGTGCTGGGATCATAATACCCCAGCCAGATATCTATCCAACCTCCTCTTGAAGACCCCCGAGGTAGGGGAGAGCACCACCTCCCTTGGGAGCCCATTCCAGAGCCTGGCAGCCCTAACCGTAAAGTAATGCCTCCTGATATCAAGCCTGAGCCTGCTCTCAATCAATTTGTAACCGTTATTCCTTGTTATCCCAGGTGGTGTCCAGGGGAACAGAGCCTCACCTATTTTCCTCTGGTTCCCCCTGGTGAGTTTATAGATGACCACCGGATCCCCTCTCAGTCTTCTCTTGTGGAGGCTGAATAGTTTCAGGCCCTTTAGTCTATCTTCATAGGGCCTGGCCTGATGCCCCCTGACTGCATGAGTGGCCCTCCTCTGGACCCTCTTAATGCTGGCCACATCCCTCTTGAAGTGCAGGGCCCAGAACTGGACGCAGTACTCCAACTGCAGCCTGACCAGCACTACACAGAGGGGGAGGATCACCTCCCTGGACCTGCTTGTGATGCATCTGTAGTTGCACGACAAGATGCGGTTAGCCTTACTGACCACTTCCTCGCATTGGCTGCTCACATTCATCCTGGAGCCAACAATGACTCCAAGATCCCTTTCAACCATTGTGTTGTTGAGAAGGGAGTTCCCCAGGCTATAGGTGTGTTGCAGGTTCCTTCTCCCTAGATGTAGCACCTTGCACTTGTCTGCATTGAATTCCATTCTGTTTTCATCCACCCACCCCTGCTACCTGTCTTGATCTAGTTGGAATTTGTCCCTCCCCTCCAGTGTGCCCACTTCTCCCCACACCTTTGTGTCATCAGCGATTTTGGACAGTGTGCTTTCCATGCCCACCTCCAAGTCGGTGATAAAGATGTTGAATAGCACAGGCCCGAGGACTGAGGCCTGGGCAACTCCACTGCCCACATCCCTCCAGGTCGAAAACGACCTGTCTACCACCACTCTCTGGGTGTGACCATCAAGCCAATTTGCCACCCATCTGACTGTGTAGGCATCAGTGCCACAGTTGCCTAGTTTTTTTATGAGAATGGGGTGAGAAACAGTGTCAAAGGCCTTCTTGAAGTCCAGGTAGATGACATCCACCTCAACACCCGCATCCAAGGACTTTTTGACCTGGTCGTAAAAGGAAACAAGGTTAGTCAGGCAGGATCTGCCTGCAGTGAATGCATGTTGGTTGTCCCTGAGCATTACCATGCTGAGTCCCCACAAATGTGTTCCTTGATAATTTTCTCAAAGGTCTTAACAAGCTAAAGAAATACAGATTAGATAAAAGTACTGTAGGATGGATGCATAACTGGTTGGATCATCATATTCAACAAATAGTCATCAATGCCTCAATGTCTGATTGGGAAAAGGTATCTGTAGGAGTTCTGGTTGCGTTAGGCCATAGTTATGCTAAGCTATAGTAAGTTATGGTGCTGAACAGCAGTACAGGAGAAAGCGGCCTTATGAATGCTGGATGACATGACATGGAAGAGAAAAATAAAAACACGCTAATGAGCAAAAAGATACTGAAGGCAGTATGAAAACAGCAGCTAAACTTGAGGACAAATGTAAAAAGAAAGACCTTGCTAATGAGACAGAGATAACAAGTACAGGTGCATAAACTTAGCAAATGAAACAAGTAGCAATTAACATCTTCACAGAGTGAGAGAGGAGTTGGCACAAGACCGATGGCATCCAAATATACAGACAGCGGTTGGGAAACCTGTTCTTCATAGAGACCTGAGGGGGTGTGACTTAACATAGTGTCTCTACCTGTCAAGGACAAGCTTCGCTAAATTGGATGACTGTTAATTAGGCAAATTGGTGTGCTGTCTGAGCTTTCACCACTGAACACACATCTGAGTTGTGTTTTCTGCGTTGCCTTTGAAATCTGGAAGGTGACTTGCTAGTGTCAGCCTTCCAGAACATGCAAACCCCAGCAGCCTGTATATCAAATGTGACAACAGCCAGATACCACCCGAGAAAACACTCTGCATGCCTCAGAACAACAATATCAGGTGGGATAACCCAGGGATCTGCCCTGGGTCCAGTACTGTTCAACATCTTCATGAATGATCTGGATGATGGGATTAAGTGCACGTTTTGCAACTTGCAGATGAACAAGTTGGATGGAGTTGCCGATACTCAGGAAGGTAGGGCTATGACCCAGAATCCCCTGGAAGGACTGGAGAAATGGTTTGCAATAAATCAGATGAAATTCAGCATGGACAAGTGCAAAGTCCTGCACTTGGGATGAAATAACCACATGCAAATACAGACTGGAAAATGACTGGCTAGGCTGCAGAGAAAGACCTGGGGCTTACAGTAGTACATGGAGATTAGGAGGAACTTCCTGACTGAGTAGTTAGATGTTTGAACAGGCTACCTGCAGAAGTTATGACATCTCCATGCTTGGAAATTTTCAAAAGCAGCTTAGACACTTGGCTGGAATGGTTTAGTCAGGGATGATCCTGCCTTGAGCAGGGAGCTGGAGTAGAGGATCTTGTGAGGTCCATTCCTACTTTCCTCTTTAAAAATCTCATGGTTGAGGATGATTGTCTTCCATGACTGTATTATCTGTGTGTCTGAAGTTGGCTGATGAGGCCTATCTTGGCAGCACAGATTACCCTGGAAAATGTGGCCAGAGCGGTGAGGCCCCAAAAGGCAACCTTGCCGATGATCGGGGGCTTGGCATAGGCACAACTAGGACACCTGAGGGCTGGTGCTCACCTGCAGGGGTGGCAGCTGCATGGACAGCAGAACCACAGGCCCCGCATCTGCCTTGATTCATCAGCTTCTGCCAGCTTCAGATTTGCTGGTGCGCTGGGGTGCATGTCATGGGAGCACACCCCATGCTGGCAGCGAAAGAGAGCTCTGGGAACCCAGAGGACAGGGCGTGGAGCCAGGCTACAGGAGAGCCCCGACAGGGGTAAAGCGAGTAAGGCAGAAGCCTACTCACCAGACTGGAGGCTTGGAGGGGTCTTCTGCCCTAGGGGCACTATCGCCATGAGAGAGAGAGCAACTTGATGTGGAGAGGCCCTAAAGGGTGTTGTTTCATTTGGAGGAATACTAGAGCACTGACTGTGAGGTTGCCCCCTTATGCTGGGCAAAAAGTGGGGAAAAGAATGAATTGCCTTTGAGTTCAGCATTTTTTTTTTGAGTTAAAACCATACCAGGCTGGCCCACCTGGCAGGAGTGCCCAGAACTGTGTTGGGGGGCAGGGGCTGAAACATTTAGCCTCAGACTTGGAATAGGCTGGGAACCATCCCAGTAACTACTGATCAACAGACGTGACCAGCCAGGATACCCCTGTGAGTAGCAAAAGTGCTTGCCAGAAGCTAATAAGGCAAAGGGAGAGGACCCTTTGTGCCTGTCACTCAGCTTCAGCATGGCTTGCTTACTTGTTGGGCCCCAGAGAGAGTTTTTGATTTTGTCAATGAAAATTATTAGATTTGGGTGCTGCCAATACAGGAGAGTCGATCCTGACATGTGCAGACAGCCTAGGCTGCATGCCCTCTGCTCGACCCCTGGGCCTGTCAGTCATCCGTGACCTACTTTTCAGCTTCGCACATGCTCAGTTGCCCACAAAACCTGACCAGGCGCATGCTCAGTCTTTCTGCAGCATGACATAATCTGACTAGAAATTTCTTTGCAGGATAGGATCTGATTGGTCACTAAAATTAGTATAAAGACCTGTGAGCCCCCACCAAGGGGTGGGTTGTTGTGTGGGCGTCGTTAGTGAGAGCGTGGTGAGAGACCGTGTGCTGTCTGTAGCAGAGGCTGCTGTTAGCAGAGACTGCGAGGCAGAGAGCGATTTGGGAGTCAGTCCCCCGGTTCTCCTCACAATCTCACACAGCGGATTCATACCTTTGATTTCGTCTCCTCGTGTACCGATTGTTCCGATTACTGAACTTACTGGCTTTGACTCCGACTTCGATTGCTTCTACGGCTCCGACATTGATTCTAGCTTTTACTTACCTGGCATTTGACTGACCTCGGCTTCCATTATCAACCACGATCCGGCTCATCCCTCCGCTGCATCATCTCTCGGCTCCTGACCTCGGCTTTTCCTTCGACCACCCGTTTCGTCCATTGGACTGGCGTCACGATTCAGTCTCCGTTCGTCATCGTTACAGTTTTGTTGTTTGTCCTGTTCCTTAAATGAGCCGTTGACCAGCCCTGGGACTATTAAGTTGAGCAGCCGCCCCTAGCTCCGGCTAGATAGCAAGGGCTCACTTAAGAACCCCGTGGGCCAACGGACCCCTCTGTTGTTTGTATTTACTGTAACTGAAGAAAGCAACTCTACCTACGCCGCTAAGCGTAAGTCAAATAAATTACCTTTGTTTAAAACCACTACGATTACGTGCCTCAGAACTCCACGCCAGAAATCCCGCCTGTTCCGTATCCAATTTGCCACCACCCGGCCGCCCCACCGTGACCACGACCGTGAGCTTGGCTTGCCAGCTCCGGGCAACCGTGACAGATTTAAGCCAGATTCAGATAGGCTTTTAGCCTGCTACTTTTGCCATCCGTGACTGATTGCAGCAAGCTAAGCTGGCTGCACTGTTTTCCCACCAGAAGGACTGTGGCTTGGCTACGCTGCAAGACTTGGTTGGCATATGGATGGGGTGCGACAGGAGAAGGAGCCCTGAGGACCAGCAATTCAAGACACTCATGAGAACAACCACAAACAGCCAAGGATCCTCCCTCTTTTCTGAAAAAAGATCAAGGTGTGGCAGGTGAGTTGGAGGGTGTGCCCTATGAGTGAGAGTGAGTGAAAGTCAAACTGTGTGGTCCCAAGTGGCAGGAGTGCCCAGTCCCAGTGACAAAATCAAGTCGGGCACCGCCTTCCACACTGGGATAGACCGATTCTACTGCTGCTCGGATGTGTTTCTGTGTGGGGTGGATGATGCTGGCTTTTTTACTTGGTCCACTGTTTCTGCCACTCCCACTTGTCCATCTCCTATGGTTGTCATGAGGTTTCAAAGTGCTGAGATCCCTGCAGAAGACTCTTCCTCCATTTGGGGTGGTTCTGGGTGATAGTCTCCCATGAGTTGATATCGATGTTGCATTTTTTTTTTTTAAGTTGGCCTTGAGAATCTCCCTGAAGTGCTTTCTCTGCCCTCCTCTTGAGCAAACCCCTTGGCTGAACTGGGAGAACAAAACTTGTTTCGGGAGTCTGGAGTCAAATATCTACATACCATAGCTGGCCCAACGAAGTTGATGCTGGATGATCATTGCCTCAATACTTGTGGTGTTAGCTTGCAGGAGGGCGCTAACATTGGTGCATCTCTTTTCCCACTAGATTTGGAAGATCTTCTGCAGGCAGTGTTGATGGTACTTCTCCACAACTTTAGATGTCTCCTGTACATTGTCCATGACTCAGCTCTGTACAGCAAGGTAGGGATCATGACTGCTTGATAAACCATGAGCTTGGTTTTTGATTTGATGTTGTAATCTTTGAACACCCCGTTCTTCAGGTGTCCAGAGGCTGCACTTATGCATTTGAGGTGAAGCTGGATTTCTTTTTCAATGTCAGCCTTCTACGAAAGATGACTTCTGAAGTATGGCAAATACTCAGCATTCTCCAGAGTCGCACTGTGGATCTGGATTACTGGATCTAGGGACTGTTCATTAGGAGCTTGTTGGTGGAGGACCTTAGTCTTCTGAATGTTAAGCATCAGCTGTTTTCTTCTATGCCTCGGTAAGGACGTTGACAATTGCCAAAGGTCTCTTTCCAAGTGAGTGCACACTACAGCATCATCAGCATACTGGTGCAAAATGATTGTGGTCTAGGTGGTCTTGATTTGGCTTCGAGTCGACTGGAGTTAAACAGCTTACCATTCATTCAGTAGTTTAGCTTCACTCCAGCTGGGAGCTTGTTGGAGGTCAGATGTAACATTGCGAATGTTATAAGGAATATTGTGAAGACTATTGAAGCAATGATGCAGCCTTGCTTAATTCCCATTTAAACTTGAAAGGGATTTGTGAAAGATCTATTATTGAGAACCACCACTCTCATACCATCATGGAGCAGGCAGAGAATGGTGACCAATTTTGGGCATCCATGCTTCAGAAGGATCCTCCACAACACTTCTTGGCTAACAGAGTCAAGCTTTTGTGAGGTCAAAGAAAGTCATGTGAAGAGCCTTATGTTGTTCCCAATGTTTCTCCTGCAGCTGGCAAGCTGTGAAGATCATGCCAGTTGTCTCTTGATGCCCTAAACCCACACTGAGATTCCGGGAGAAGCTCTTCAGAAAGTGGATGGAAATGGTTCAGAAGGATTCTTGCAATGATCTTTCCTGTGGTGGACAGCAAGGTGATTTCACTGTAGTTTTCACAGTTGCACATGTCTCCTTTCTTGAAGATTGTCCCAATCATGGCATCCCTGAGGTTGTCTGTGATTTTCCTCATCATTCCCAGATCCTTAAGATGAGGACATGAATCTGTGTCGAGAGCTCTTCTCCTCCCTGTTTGAAGATTTCAGCAGGGATTCCATCAGCTCCAGATGCCTTGTTCTTCATCTGCTTTCTGGCTTTCTTCACCTCATCAAGGATTGGAGGGTCTGCGAGATTATCTCTGACTGGGTGTTGCAGGATGCAGTTGAGAACACTCTCATCTCATCAACACAGCAGAGTCTCGATTGAAAAGGTCTTCAAAATGCTTCCAACAGGCATTGATGGCTCCCTGTTCCATGATCAGGTCTCCTCCATCCTTGGGTCTCAAGGGGGTTGGTCCCTGAGTCCTTGGACTGTAGATGGCTTTGGTGGCACTGAAAGAGCCGTGCATATCGTGCATGAGAGCCAGATGTTGAATCTCCTGAGCATTGTCTTCCCACCATTTGTTCTTCATATCACGCATCCTCTTTTAGACCTCTTCCCTAGCTTGTTGGAGATTTAATTCCTTTTGCTTGGAGTTGGTGTCATTTTGCCAAGCACAAAAGGCTTTGGATTTCAACTCTTGGATTTCCTGGTCATTCTTGTTAGGGTGACAGTATTTGGATCTCGGGGAATATTGAATTTGCAGCTGAATGAAAGGCTATAGCCTGTGGCCAACAAAGCTGCTAACCACAAGGCA